CCTTAACAATATAAACATTGGCAGTCACTGTTTATATATATATATATATAAAGCTCTCTAAGAACCTTAACAATATAAACATTGACAGTAACTGTTTATATATATATAAAGCTCTCTAAGAACCTTAACAATATAAACATTGACAGTCACTGTTTATATATATATATATAAAGCTCTCTAATAACCTTAACAATATAAACATTGACAGTCACTGTCTTATATATATAAAGCTCTCTAAGAACCTTAACAATATAAACATTGACAGTCACTGTTTATATATATATATATAAAGCTCTCTAAGAACCTTAACAATATAAACATTGACAGTCGCTGTCTTATATATATATAAAGCTCTCTAATAACCTTAAAAATATAAACATTGACAGTCACTGTCTTATATATATATAAAGCTCTCTAATAACCTTAACAATATGAACATTGACAGTCACTGTTTATATATATATAAAGCTCTCTAAGAACCTTAACAATATAAACATTGACAGTCACTGTCTTATATATATATAAAGCTCTCTAATAACCTTAACAATATAAACACTGACAGTCACTGTCTTATATATATATATATAAAGCTCTGTAAGAACGTGGTTGTAATGACAGTTTTCACATATATATATATATATCTAAAAGTACACAGGCTATTAATGGAGCAACTGGAAAAAACACAACTGAACAAAAAGAAATCAGTTGTATAAACATTGGGCATACAACTACTCAAAACGCATGGAGAGTTAACAGTGATTTATAAGAAAGCCATATCCTGAGCTATTCTTGAAACTACATAATTGGATACCAGAAAACTTAACATTGATGGTAATCAAATGAAATACACGTCTAGCTAAGAATTTACAGAGAACTTACAATTTAAGAGTTTGTTGCTATATTTATAACCACCTAACAACGTAGACAATTTATTATGACAAAGACGGATATATTGCTGTTTAAAAATCCTCAAAAATCAACGGCATATATGAATAACTTAACAACGCGTATTTGATAATGACATAGTTTAATACGCCTAAAAACGTTGAAGATCAGAATGATAGTTATAAAATGATAGACGACTATCAGTTTCAAAGTAGATAATGACGCTATT